CGCTGACAAAAACATGGCGACAGCGCAGAACGTTTTTTTTGTGATTTGTCAATGATTGTCTACCTGCTCGCCGACGCGACGATTGATCATACCTGTGCAGGCGAGTCGCGCACTCAAATATTAACGAACGCGGCGCGGCGCGTGTCTGGGGTTTGTCCGCTGTCGGTACGTGTCAACATAAAAGCTGCGCCAGTACGGCGCACCATTACGGCGCCCACCACCTCCGACTCGCCGTGGTTTTAAGCGCCAGCCTCGTGTGTGCATTCATCTGAGTTGTAACAACAGCTTCGCGGGAGCGAGCTTTGGCGCTTATCTCGCTGCGACAGGCGAGCCGATGCCTGCTGCATGAGCTGTTTCCTGCCTCTTCGCAGCGTCGTCGAATCGCGTCGCGGGGATATCTCGCACCACATTGTTAGTGCCGCTATAGCGACGCATTTGCCGGGTTGGCCGTCATCGGCCCGTAGCACATGGAAAGGAATGACAACAACGTACGCATACAGTGATGACACCGATGTACACACGTACTGATGACGTCAACGTACACGTATACTGATGACAACGACGTAGATGCGTACTGATGACGTCAACGTACACGTATACCAATGACAACGACGTAGATGCGTACTGATGACGTCACCGTACACGTATACAGATGACAACGACGTATACGCGTACTGATGACACCTACGTAGATGCGTACTGATGACATCAACGTACACGTATACCGATGACAACGACGTACACGCGTATTGATGACATCAACGCATAACGATGACATCAACGTACACGCATAACGATGACAGCAGCGTAAACGCATACTGAGAACATAAACGTACACGCGTACTGGTGACTGGTACTGGTGACGTTAACCGCGTGATGAAGGAATCTCGCAGCAGACGCCTACCGCGTCGGTCGCGTGATGCTGATGATACGTAATGTATGAGGAGACCACGTACAGTATGCAGAATGTTCGCGCACCCTGACACCGCGACGCTGGCTCTCTCTCTCTCTCTCTCTCTCTATCTGTACGTGTGCGTGCGCGTGTATGCGTGCGTGTGCGCGCGCGTGCGTGCGTGCGTGCGTGCGTGCGTGTGTGTGTGTGTGTGTGTGTGTGTGTGCGCGCGCAGAGTTGGGTGTCATAGACGTGTGGCCAGCGGACCGGCGACACTCGCTCGCGCGCATTTGAAGTCTCATGCAGATTACAGCTAAATTACGTACACAGAGCAGCACCGCGCGTTTAATTGTCCGCGAGTTCAGCGTCATTCATTCTCTGCAAACGACACCAGCGAAGAGGTATGTCTCGTGTTCGGTGAAAGCAAGAACGATGTCATTTTCGACCACATTATGCATTAGCTTCGCACACAGGGTGCCTGCGCGCCGCGCGTATGTATATATATATATAGTCACCACTCGCTTACACATCGCGCGCGCGCTCTCTTGTTATATCCTTTTATGTTCCGTGATTTCTCGATCGATATCCCGTCGTGCATTGTCGCGACTTCGACATCGAGCCGGCCTGTCCCTGGGACAACGTCTTTAGCATATTCGCCCCCAGGTGAAATGACTGCTCCATAATCCGCTTCATTTCAGAAACATTCGCCGGGATAAAATCATGAATAAGATGCTGCACTGTATATACGCGCGACAGCGGCGCGAGGTTGCTGTTCACGAAGCCTGCATAGAATGTCAGCCGGGACGGTTAGCGCGTCCTCCTTCCAACACCCAACCACCCACCCAGCCACCCACCCACCCAGCCACCCAAGCACCCACGCAGCCATCCAACCACCTACCCACGCAGCCATCCAA